CCCTTAAACCACAAACGAAGATCTTCCTCGCACCTTCTGCACACCTTGTGAGGAGCCCAAGGTTTGTCTTGATCCCCAAGTTTCAATTTGAAATAAGCAAAATACACTTTCTTCACAAAATCACTTGTTTCTTTGTTGACTTTTAACTATGTATTCACCACAAATAAAACAAAAGTTGTCCGGAGAAATAACACAACCGCTTTGAGCCATAATACAGAGCTAAAACACAAGCACAGTCACGTTTGAATGCAGGATGTAAACTGAGTGGCTTATACATCAATCAAGATCCTGAACTTATTTAGCATGTTGACACATGCTCAACCGAGCTAGTAAGATTCCTCACCTTTCGCTACAAACAAAGTAAACGTGTTGAGACATGATCGCCTGAGCTCCTCACACCGCCAAACTCACCCTACCAACCCCTTCCACTGACCCCCCATCCCACCCATTTTCTATCTGTATTATTTTTTAGATCGACTCTTATAAATATTATTTTAAAGTAATAAATAATTATTGGATATGGTTTTTAGAATCAACAATAGGATACCAGATTTCATGATGAAGAGAAATTTCACGTAAAATTAAACTAAAAATATGAGTGTTGCAAAAAAATTTATGTGATGGATTTTTTTTACTATTTTTTCCGGTTTAAGTGAGTAAAAATCTATAAGAAACAGTAAAAATATCCTATGCAGTCTTTTGGTTGCAGACCACTAATTATAATTAGTGGCCTTATTTCTGCTATTAATGTTCACGGGTGAAGGCGGGTTGCAGTACCTCCGACGCAGCCCTGAGAGTCGGAGAAGGCTATGAAAACGGACCCAGCGCCTGGGGGACATAAACAAAGGGACCTGGTCCTCCAGTTGGGGGTTGAATGCAAGGCTTACGACCTTGTTGTGTAAAAAAAATTGTTTGCGAAATTCCAAAAGTGAAAACCGGATGAAATCCGGCAGAATATTCTTGGGAAGCTTATGGCTAAAAAGGGCTGTTTTGCCCATGATGATGACGATGATGCTATTAATGACTAATTGCTCCATTCAGCAATCGATGAATTATTCATTTGAAATTTCTCTTTATTATAACAGAAAGTAAATGCTTTTTGAATGCCTGTGACAACACAATATTAAACTTTGTTAATGTTAATCACATATCAGTATTTACTTAAAAAAAATAGGTAAATATTTTGAGACCTACTGGTAGTGAATCAGAAGATGTAAATATTCGTCACTGTGAAACGTTGTTCTATTCTGAATAAGCTTCGTTAAAATCAATCAGTTAATTTCGTAGTACTTATTGGACGGTGGTAGATAGATACATATATTTGGTCTGACAATAAAGATCGTGAACTCGCCACCGGGTTCTTGTCTTTACAGCAATGGACAGGAGCCTCACTATGGTTTGATGACGTTGCCATATCAGCGTTTCATAGCTGTGTTGTTGTTGATCTGTGACAGTCTCTTTTTGAGTGTATTAAACTTGGCAAGAGTGGAAGCGAAATCAGGGAGATGTTAGTGCACGTTTATGGGGATAATGCTATGAAGAAAACAGCAGTTTACAAGTGGGTGACACATTTTTCTGAGGGAAGAGAAAGTTTCATTGATGAAGATAGATCAAAACGGCCAGCAGCGAGCAGTATTGAAGAAAGCATTGCGAAGTTCGTCAAATTGTGCGTGAAAATCGCCGGCTGACTGTCAGGAGCATAGCAGAGCAAGCGAACATCGACAGAGAGACAGTTAGGAAAGCCTTAGCTGAAGATCTTGACGTGATGAAGGTGTGTGCAAATATGGTGCCAAAGGAGCTCACCAAAGAACACTGCCTGAGAGGAAGCTTTTAGCTAGATAGATAGATCAGAACGGCCAGCAGCGAGCAGTATTGAAGAAAGCATTGCAAAGTTCGTCAAATTGTGCATGAAAATCGCCGGCTGACTGTCAGGAGCATAGCAGAGCAAGCGAACATCGACAGAGAGACAGTTAGGAAAGCCTTAGCTGAAGATCTTGACGTGATGAAGGTGTGTGCAAATATGGTGCCAAAGGAGCTCACCAAAGAACACTGCCTGAGAGGAAGCTTTTAGCTAGTAAACAAATATCTGTGCTGGAACACCCTTCCTATTCACTGGATCTAGCCCCCAGTGACTTCTTTCTGTTCCCGAAGATAAAGGAAATGTTGAAAGGAAGGCATTTTGATGACACTGATGACATCAGGAGTAATAAGACAGCAGCTCTAAAGGCCACTCCACAAAACCAGTTCCAAAATTGTTTTGAAGGATGGAGTAGGCGCTGGCATCGGTGCATGACCATCAGAGCTATGGCAGACAGTTGCTAGGACTTCACAGCTGGAGGATAAGCCCTGTCATAAGGACGCTACCAACACATGACAACACAAACAGAAGAAACGCAGATATGAATCGAGCGGGTTTCGAACCCACGAACCTAGAGTTTTAGCGGACGAAATTATGTCATGACTTATTACAATTGCCGTTATTAAAATGCTTAGTTGGATTTGATGTTCTCACATATTATGAAGGGTGTTGAAGAATGGAACCGATTCGTTCCTCTGGAACGTCGATTTACACAAGATCTTCAAGGTGTCACATCCCAGAAGACGACTTTCTTCATAGTCATCGCCGTGAAAACCTCAAAACTTACATAGACTGAAGATATTTGAGAAAAGAGTGTGTGGTAGAATATCTGGGTAAAGGAAGAACGTAACAAAAGGTATTTGAGGTTGTTATGNATGCTGTGGAGGGAATTATAGCCTCCATGACAAAGGATATTCGACTCTTGTTGCAATACAATCTTCTTTTGAAGAACACTCATTGGGCTTTCTCCGAACTAAATGATCCTCCACAGTAATTTCCATTTTTTTCTCATGGAGTGGCTTCTTGCTGCGGTCAAGATCTATCATTTATTCCATCATGTCAGGCTGACTTTTAGTGTATTACCCCACATTACAGTTGCACTGTGGAGAGAACTCCGTTAAAAATGTTTTAGTATGCATGTGCCCCCCTTGGCACTACAGCCCCGGTGGGCCTAGGCCTACCTCCATGAACTTCTCCGTTCACTTCGGTTTTTCTAGATCTTACACATTCGGTAGGACTCCTTGGGCGGGTGATCAGGTCATCGCAAGGCCTCTACCTGTACACAATCTAAACATCCATGCCCTGAGTGGGATTCGAACCCACGATCCCAGTTTCCAAGCGAGCGAAGACAGTGCAGGCCTTAGACCTCTCGGCTACGGTGACCGGCTGATGACACATTTACGGTGTATAATTTTAACGCGTTACATTGATAACCTTTATCTCGGTTATATTTGATAAATAGACAGTTGGGCTAACGGTTAAATTGACAATTTCTTTAGTTTCAGAGAAAATATGCAGAAATTTTCTGCAGTATCAAAGGACGTACCTGACAAGGCATTAGATAGAGCAATCTGGTGGACAGAATATGTACTTCGACACAATGGAGCCCGTCATCTTCGCTCAGCGTTGTTGGACTTGACATGGTATCAGTATCTGTTGCTGGATGTCGTAGCAGCTTGTTTACTAATCATCATAGCAGGGCCTTATCTTATCTACATAATCATAAGAAGAATACTGTGTCACCTACTGAATCATTGTTCGAATAACTATCAAGACATCAATGCAAACAATATTGTGAATAAAAAAAAATCATAATTGAAAAACGCTGTTTAAATTCATGTTCTCAAAACAGAATGGAATGAATTTCGTGGCCGAAGTTGCAAAGTCCCTGAGAGACCTATTATTGTCACAACATTATAATTTATTTAACAGGATCAACCAGTGTTTTTTGAAATTATTATAGTCTGAAATAATTAGTAGGTTATGTAGTTCCTTCTGTAATGCTGCAATACTCCTATATATTTCGTTCGTATTTTCCGTTTTAAGAAACAATTCACATATTTTAGTATGTACTAAGATGTTTATGGTCATCATTTATGCCCATTGCTTTCTCTTATAAAAATGTGCTCACCGGTAATCTATGAAAAAACACAACTGAAGATACGAACACAGTGTCGTGCTTAATTAGTTCAGCACAGGGACAAATTTACGCGGCAATGTTCTTACTTGTTACAAGTGCGAGAACCTCCTATCTCAACAGAAAGCTTTTGTTCCACGTTACAATAGGCCGTAAAGTCGGCCACGTGAGGTGCGTTATCTCTGTTCTCATTCAGATATCAATTGGCTGGCCCATAAATAAGCATAATGTTATGCTGTCACATCGCGTTTGGCAGAACGTCAAGTAGGTTATACGTCAACACCAAAGATACGCCGCATGTGCCAAAGCTTATGAGTAGGCGTACCATGTCCAGATATGTATGCTTATGGCGCTGTTATTGCCTATATAGCATCAGATGAACTAAATGTACGATGAACTGGAAAGGATTTGGAAAGAAACGACCGTTGCCTGATCTATGTCGGCTCTCGGCGTTTGAGGAGCACGCGGTAGAGCCGTTGGTAGTGGCACTATACTACAAGCCGGGAGGTCGCGGGTTCGAGTCCAGAAGTCACTGGATGTTTCAATTGACCTAATCCTTCCAGCGCACTATGGCCCTAGGGTTCGCCTCAGCCTCTAACGGAAGTGAGTACCAGGAATCTTCCTGGGGGAGAGGTGCGGCTGGCGCATAATACTGACAACCTCACCGCCATCTGTGAGCCGACTGTCTAAAGAAAATGTGGGAGCCTCAACATCTCACAACCATATGGGCCTCCGCGGCCTGTTACAGGGATAACGTATTCTTCATGTGTTATAGAAATACTCGTTGAATAAACAAAAGAATGTGCTCATTTCAAGTTTAATGGTTAAGACAGAAAGCCACTGCTCATCCTTCTCCACCCGAGCTCTAATGTTAACAGCAGAAGAGCAGCAGTTATGCCACTTGCCAGAAGAACTAAAAGGTCCGACGATACGACAATTGCAGGCTCCTGCAGCAACTCATTTGGCTTCGTTGGCCACGTTCTGTCCACAGATCGTTTTACAAGTCCCGTCCTTCTGATCTCTTGCATGCTAGAATGGTAAATACACGTATACATAAGTATAACACCATTTTGGCAGAGAGCGCCCTTATTTTCATGGGATTTGACGTTACTACAGGATGGCGATCTTTTGCGTAATGAGGTTGCTTAGTTTAACATATAGGTTACTCTGAAACTGGTACTCATGTATCAAGTTACTGTCCGTGTGTCCAGACCTGGCCGCTCTCGGAAGAATGCGCAGTGAATTTGGTCGAGTCCACTGAGATATGGATTGTGGGATGTGTGTGAGTTACAGCAAGGCCTTAGTTATGTGTCACTCTCCGCCCTCCAAAAATATAAGTGCAACCACTGCCCCACTGCTTCTTTGCAATCCTCTCCTAAGTTCCCCTCAAACCTAGAGGCCAGATCTAAAAACACAGCCTTTAATAGACGTCACGTCCCAGGAGAGAATAATCTTCATTAATGTTTTACCCTAAACTACAAAACTCCTAGATGAACTATTGTATTATTCTGTAATTCGAACCAAAAATAGACATATTCCCATTGTTTCTGGTTTCACGTAACACCAGTTTCATAATTACATGGACAGTTAACCCAGTTTCTTCCAAAAAATACGGACGCAGTTTTCCGCGGCGATTGGAAAACAATATACTGTGGGGTTACAGTGGACTTACATTGGGCTTACGTAGTCTGGTGTGTGGTTGTCAAAGTTTCGGGGCAACCAGTTGCTCCATCATCAAGAAGAGGAAGGAGGTAACTGATTCATCAGGAATATCAGTAACTACTTACCAGGCTATACGGTGTCATAACCCACAATACCACAATCTAAAATATAATAATATATAAAATACCATTCGATACAACAGTCAAAGTTCGTGAGGAGTTACTTTTACCTTAACATATTTTCTTCATTTTAAGAGATTTTAATAGCCAATTACCTGAAATGCATTTTTTTTAAATTCGGCGACGTTTCGGAGGAATGTACCATTTCAGTCTTGAGAATCAAAGAATAAACTAAGGAACAAATTATTAGGATGCGAGCAGTCTGTCCTGAAGCTAGGAGCAGTATAGTCCTCCGAATCATCGGCAAAATAGTACCAGGTTATACGGCGTCACATCCTAGAAGACAGTATTCTTCACGGCCATTTCTATGAGATCCTCAAATCCATCATGTATTAACACCGGTAGCCAATCCTTGGAGAGCCCAGAATTAGCTGTGCTCTTACAGTTCATTTGTGCATGTTGGCCTATGTAGCACGCAGAACTGTAAGTAAATTAGGCTAGTATTCTTATACTCAAGTATAATCCCTACATCTCAGCGACATGAACACGTATAAACATACGCACATTTATCGCTGTACCTAATTAAACACTACGCCATGAAGACGTATGAGGAAGTGGAGAGTTATTGCCACATGTTCTTAATTTCGATCCTAGATGGAGGTGAGTTTCTGCTTCACGTTCTGGCAGATTAAATCTCGTGAAAGTACCCGCCGGTACACTTTGGATAGGAGAATAGCTGAGTCCCAGGTTCGATCTAGACGATAGCCTTTCCGGGAATCGAACCCCAATTAATAGATCAACCCCGTAGCCCAGTTCCTATACTGACTGGGCTATCCCGGCCTACGTATAGTCATTGAAACATAACTTTAATGAAATGATGCCTGTGTGAATTGTGAAACGACTGTGGATTCTGTCTTCTGGGGTGTTCTACCAGACTACACGGCGTTACATCCTGAAAGCAGTACCTTTCATATGACTTGTACCTCAGTCCCCGTCTATAGAGCATACTCACTGGTCAGTGAAGAGAGTTCTGTAGCTGCTTGACTTGCTGATGAGCATAGACAGAGTCGTGGTATGGAAGGCGCGTGGAATAGCCACAATATTACAGGGTATTTCCTTTTCTAATCCTTTCAGTGAAGTGTCCAATGTAAGGAAGCTATATTTGGACTCGTCACATAGCTTCCGCAAGCCTTCCAGATCAGTCTGAGGTAAAGCATTAGAACGTACTTCTGGTTCGATTAGATCCGTATAAATTTGCCTCATCAGAGGATCGTCTGAGTCCTGTAGACATATAAAAATTAGGAGGCGTGTCGGTTATAGTGTTCATCTGTTATTGTACAATGTGAAGTTCGTACTTTAACGTGGATGGCAAGAGCGTTTCTAGGCAGCGACTTGTAAACAGCCTTCAGTCGCGTAAGCGCACCCAGCAATATGATAAATGTTTATGGTTCGTTGCTAGGTAATAGTCAGCGCGCCAATGGATTGGCGAGATGGGTATCATGTGACTGGCTCTTTATGGAGTCCGTGCCGCGACCGTTGCTATGCAATGTCACGGTAAACACTCTTCTACAACAATGGAGGATGTTTTCTGTGTGGTCCCTGCGGAGGCTATATAACGAAAGTTAGAGACAGAAACCCGCGTGGAGGCGGGATCGAATACCTCCAACGTGACCCTGCGAGTCGTAGGAGGCGACGAAAAGGGAAGCCTCAAAACTGAGACAGTAAAATATGTTCGCGAAAACTAAGGGACTCGGACCCGAGAAAGACTGCACTGGCAAGGGCCAGCAGCATATAGAAAAGACAGACCCGTCCTCCCGTCAGAGAGGTTGCACCACAAAAACAAGATCGCAACTGTCAGACAGTAATTAATATCTTGTCTTGAGCCCCAGATGGGGTTGGACACCAAGGCTTACTGAATGACCGACCGTCAGTCGCAATGATTTTGACTTTGAACAGATTTCAGTGTTTAAGTTACAGTGAGAGATTTCTCGATAGTAGACAGCCACGGGAAGTTCGTAGAAGATCTGTGAAGACTTAAATTGTGATCTGAAGACTGTGTTTATCTGTAATGCTGGGAGTGTGTATTTCAGTGAGACTGTGCTAGTTTCTGTGTTGAGATCCGTTGCCAGGAGACGACTAGTGAAGACGGAGAATCCTAGTGTGTGTGCAACGGTGAAATTGAAAGCGTGTAAATCAGCGATAGCGTTGTATTTCCTGTAATTTAAGTATGATTAAGAAAACTTGTAACCGAAGTGCCAATAAATCCAATCATCGAGCTAGAACCCGTCATTTTGTCGCGCGTACCATCCTACACTTGACAGTACGACATTTTAAACCTAATATAAATATAAGGCCACTCACGAAATTGTACTCGAATGCCGTTGTGTCTCGGGAACCATAACATTTTATATTTTGCACCACCAAATTTATTTGAAGTACATATTTATATTTATACGTTCGTATTTTGGTACCAGATTTTGTTTTAAGCTAGTTATGTTATAATATCCATTATGATTATATTATAACTTAGTTGTGTTGACCGTCATTTCATTCCGAACTGAAAATTTATAGGGTATAGCTAAGTGTAGTCAGGTGGAAGCTTACCGACATCTTCAGGGTCAAAGGTTAAGTTAATTAAGAAACCGGCATGAAGGAGGCGGCTTCCTTTTGTTGGTTGCTTGTTAGGCTCACTCTTCGATATTGAAGCTCCAGGCAGTACGATCTTCCGAAACGTCACTGAACTTCCACCAGACTACACGGCGTTACAGCGCAAAAGTTAATATTTTTAATAGGTACATGAGTGGCTCAAATTCAGTAAATTAAGATGAGATTAAAAATGGGTAATACTTGCTAGAGGCCTAATTCGCTTCAGAATCTTGTTTCTTTTCGACTCCAGTTTAAAATCATAAAGATTTTAGATTTGAAAGTATAATGTTATCCGTTACTGCTCATTGGTATAGAATTGTATCTTTCATCCTAAGTGAAATACACTGAGTAAGTTATTTCTGAAGATAGTATCTGGACCAGAGAGACGAGGTATAGAGCGGCTGAAGAAAACCGAGTCATTAAGAGAACCATAGTTCGTGTTCGTCACGAAATTTCTTCAGGGTTATCAAATAAATAAGGATGAAATTGGCAGGATATGTAGTGCGAATGGGAGAAATGCTAAATGCATTAAATAATTGTAGTCGTAAATCCTTAAGGGTAGTGATAACTTGAGAGACCTAGACATAGATGGAATTATTTGATCTAACCGAACTGTTCCCAGGAATCTAAGGATCTGTGCTATAGCTATCGACAGGGGCCATTGGACAGTTTTTCACATTGAAGATGGAAGGTTAAGTATCTTCGAAATGTGGGCATCTACACGATTCCCATTTCCATGAAAGAGACTTCACATTAGCATCAAATGTGCTGATTTATTAGCACAGTATTGAGCACTTAGGGTGCCATTTTCTTTTTAGTTCAACATGATCGAAAGCTCTAAATATTAACTCCGATATCTAATTAATATACGGAAAACTTTCCCAGTATCGTGACACACCATGTTTCGTGGTTCGACAGGCCACGATAAAGTGCCGCAAAGTTTAATGGTATTCCACAGATGGTGAAGTTACCGAACTATATATGGAAGGGGATTGTTCAAATTAACTGTGAAATATATACTTCAATTTATGGCGAGTTCAGAGCGCTGAACCACGACATAAGTGTAAGTTATATCACGAAATTGGGCAGGTATACTTTAATCTGAAATCTCACTTCCATGTTACACTTCCACGCAGTCATGTATTTACCTGAAAGAGATGCAGATGTCCAGTTGCACGGTTTAATCCGAGGCGGTAACTTCCGTCTTTTAGGAGGCCCTCGAAATCTTCAAAGGGTAGCTTGTATCTCCGAACAGCAAGGAACGAGATAAAGGTGGCCGCATATGACGTCGTCATGATAACAGCTGTGACGTAAACCATGAGGTAGACTAGACGAGAGGACAATGTCTTCGGGGCAATGGCATGACCTAAAGGCAGTAAGCACATATGATCATAGTAGCAGACAAATCAAAGGAACACAGCTGCACGTAGGTAGGGATAGCAGCAGACAAATCAAAGGAACACAGCTGCACGTAGGTAGGGATAGCAGCAGACAAATCAAAGGAACACAGCTGCACAAAATTACATTTTTTATTTGATACGAGAATCCCATACTCGAATGCAAAGATACCAAGCAGTCTAGGGGAAACGGAAGTGCTTGGTTTCTAAACACCGACTGTTCTAAGGTGGGTATCGATAGACGGCGACACGGCGTACTGGGTTTTTACAATGGCTATAATGTAACAACGTAAAGCCAGAATATATATATATATAAATGAATAATTGAACAAAGAAATATATCAGTTGCAAATATAAAGAAATACATAACAAGAAGACCATGACATAACTCCGGCCATCCAGACCAACGAAACCACAAGGGCCATCATCCATTACGCTCACCAGAAATAATAATAATAATAATAATAATAATAATAATAATAATAATAATAATAATAATAAAGGTCACTTGTTGTATATGGATGACTTGAAACTGTTAGGAAAAAGTGAGGAAGAATTGAGGGACGAGATTAAAATTGTAAA